ATTGTCTGGCTAGGAGAAGGTTTTCAGTTCTCCTCCTCAACCAATGTGGGACATCACAATCGGGCCCAGTGTTCTCGCTGGTACTTTTTCCTTCCTCCAATCGATGTGGGACCGCCCCCAAATCCACCCTCCTTCAGGTCCTAGCGTCCTTACTCACACACCGCCTTGTGTCTACCCCCCTTCGGAGAACAGTGAGAAAGCTGGCAATCGTCCCGTGTCTGGCTCTGATACCATTTGTAACGACCCAAGCCCACCGCTAGCAGATATTGACCTCTTCGGACTTCCCCTCAAGGCTTTAAAATGCGTTTGCTAGGGGAAGGTTTCCATACCCTTATAAATGGTGTTTTGTTCTACTCCCCACCAATGTGAACAACACAAATTTGGGATTAGAATAATGAATGCGTTGACTCTTCCCTATTCCCTTTGACAATGCCATTTTCATGTTGCTTCTATTCAATATGTAATGTATGATTGAATGAAAATGTTTGACCAATCATAAATTGTCATGTCTTTATTTCTAAATCGATAATAAATTCAAAATGGTTATGCTCAAAATCATGGAGAAGTTATTAAACTCTAAGGCCACGGTGTATCATGAAAAGCTCTATAAACAAAAGATCGTAAAGCTCTTTAAAGCTCTTGAAGACTCGAGATTCTCTAAAATTCTTAGAATCACAGATTTTATGAAGATCAGAAGACTTCAAAACTCATAAGAAGTGATCCCATTTTTTTCATCGGGTCAGAAAAAAAAAAATACTCGGGTTTTGAAAACTCTTGGTTAGTGGGCTCAAAGACTTCGAGTCTTGGTCTGTGTTTGACCCGTTCTCCCTCGATTTTGTACTTAGGCCTCTTTACCCTTTATAAGATATTATAAGATATCATAATATATATTTAACTAATTTAAATCTCATTCAAATTTGTGGATGAAATATATTAATTGATTTAATATTTAATAATATCAAATACAATAAATATATTTTTTTATTTATTTTCCATTTAATATATCTAATATATAAAATATTAATTTGAATCCTTCCCATAAATATACTTTTTTTCATTCATATTTAACCTATTTAATATATTAAATATTAATTTGAACATTTCAATTAAATATATTTTCTTTATTTATTTAATATATTTAATACATTAAATATTAATTTGACATTTCAAATAAAATTTATTTTCTCGATATTTAATATATCTAATATATTAAATATCAATTTGAACCCTTCAAATTTTCTTTCAAATAAATTGAACGACTATGAGCTAGCAAGGAAAGCTTATGGACCTATCGATTATAAGCTCCAATGATACAAAGTTAATTAATTAAACTATTTAATTAATCCATCTCTATTCATTAACTATAAATCACTCCACTTTAGATTTAGAGTTGCACTCTTATGCACTGTAGGACAAGTTATGTCCATTGATACAATCATTACAAGCAAATCGATCCTTCACGAGTTATTCGTAATTATAGCTAGATCAAAAGTCTATTTTACCCCTGTAATTATATCTTTCATCTTAAGTACCACTTATTCTATAATGAACAATTTGTTTATGATCCAATCATAAACCAAGTCCCTCTCGGGCCAATTAGAGGGTAGGGTCCATTATTCAAGTCCTGAAATTAGTACTTAACTTAACAACTCATCTACTTTCCTTATAAGGAAAGAAGTGAATTTCATCTCATGATATTATGGTCCCAACTTTGTATTTGGTAAAAGTCTCCAAAATGGTAGGCATATTGAATCGACTAAAAGAGTCATTCTCACCTATGTAAATTAAAGGACAAGCACTCACAGGCAGAAGTTCATAACTCACTCAGGATTAAGATCGAGTCGGATCATCATGTGAAATATTAATCTTCTCACTTAACGGATTTATAAAGAGAGATTAAATATTTCTTGGTTCATCATATACAAACTCATTGTATAGGATACCCTCACTTACATGTCTCCACATGAACGATTTGGATAAAATCATTTGTAACGATTACAAAGTGGGTCGTATCAATAATGTTACTAGGATAAGGCACACAACCTTGTCCATATACTATAGACTCTTTAGGTTATTACTTGAACACGATTCTCTTATATGTCAACCCCATATTGCTCAAGATTACATTAATACCTTTGATTTTCATACTATGAATAACAGTTAAATTACAAATAAAATAATAAAAATTATTGTTAAAAACTAAATAATTAATTACAAGACTTTAATGCATAAATCCCAAGCGTGTGTGTTTGAAATCTATGGTGTTTATTTATGAAATTGATGAGTATATGACAAGCTTAAAGAGTACAAAATTAATAGAGCCGGATGGATTTGGTGTGTAAAAAGTAATGTACGCAGAACAATGTGTATGAAAATGATGTTCATCTCGAACATATGAAAAAAAACTTTATTTTGCTGAGTTGTAAAAAGAAAAAAAAAAAAAAAAGAGTCATGACATGAATTAATACAAACTCGGTTGTATTTCAGAAGTCGAATTATTAAATACAATGACAGTCTCACACAACGAAAGTATTTAATTTACTGACTCGTGCATAAGGTTAAAGACTCGTACGGGGCTCACGAATGGTTCATAATTATAACTATTCAAAAGTCTATTTTACCCTTATAATTATATCTTTACCTTATGTATCGATGATTCTCTAATGAACAAGTGAACGGGAGATACTATTGTTCAAGTCCCAAAACCAACACTTAAGGCTTCGCCCCTTTCATACTATTCAGAATTCCCGATCGGGTTCTTTCACTCTTATTATTCGGGAGGTTGCAATTCCTCTTTCAATTTAAGGGAGTTCATGTAGTAAATGCATAATCTACGGTGGATATAGTTTCAATATTCAAACAAGGGCGTCTTAGGAATCGGCCTTTTTCTTTCTAAGCATTGTGGCCATCACAGTTCAAGGTATGGCTGGCGTACAACCTAAAGGCTTCTTGCCGGAAAAGAAAGTGCGGTTCTTTAGGCCAATCTTAGAAAAAGAACAAGGAGGATATGTATCGATAGTGCTATAGACCCTTTAGATTATTATTGAAACATATTCCTCGGTTCAAGATTACATTAAAAACCTTGAATTTTTAATAAAATAAATAACTAAAATTGTTATTAGTTATGAGATTTTAGGACATAAATCTGAGTAAAACTCATCCTGAGATCTACCCAAAGGCTTATGAAAGCCATTCGAAGCATGGGCTAACGTAGGTGATCCCGCTCGATCGAATAGCTAAACTAATCATGGGCCGATATGTCATATTGTTGACTTTTGATGCAATATAAAACTATGAAACTTTATATATGAAGCGAAATTTAAGGAAATCAAAAGGAAATTGGGAGGATTGACAAGAATGATAGCACATGGGAAGTGAGTGAAAGAAGGCTTTTGAAAATGGATGTTTGTTCTTTTAAGTTCATAATCATTTTTGTGCGTGATTTTTTTTTAATTTAAATAAAATATATTCATTTCTTAATTATAAAATTATTTATAACTTATTAAAAATTTTAAATTAAATAAATTCTTGAAGAATCAAAAGGAGCGTATTTGTATTGTATTGTTCGTATTCTCGAATTAATAATTTTTTTAAGATCGTTCAAAAAACTCGATCTACTCTATCCAATTCAATCCATACCGTTTTACATTGAGTTAGATTGAAAATTTTATGAATGTTAATTTTAAAATATATATTTACTCATAAATTATTTTTAAAAATATATTAACAAATAAAAATATCATCATAATTACAATAATATTTTATAATAATAAAATGTTATATCGGATAAAAATGGGAATATAATATTTGCGATGTTGAGGTAATCTCTCTTGACTTTCTCCCATATTCTTTGTTTTGTAAGGAGATTTCTTACCTCGTTTGGAGCCTGTTTGACTCCATGTATGGGAACCCGGACCCACCTCCACAGATTAAATAGATGTCTCTAACATCCAATAAAAAGTTTTGAAACTTAAAAAATAAGGTTGTGAGATTCTATATCGGTTGAAGAGGAGAACGAAACAATTTTTATAATGGTATGCAAACCTCTCTCTAACGGACGTGTATTTAAACTGTGAGGCGAACAATGATACGTAACGAGTTAAATTAGACAATATCTAAGCGGTGTGTTAATGAGAATGTTGAGCCCCTAAGGAAGGTGGATTGTGAGATCCTACATCAGATGGAGAGGAGAACGAAACATTTCTTGTAAAGGATGTGGAAACCTCTCTCTAATAGAGACTGACGGTGATATGTAACGGGTCAAATGAATATTGCAAGGACTAACAATATCTACTAACGATGACTTTGAGGTGTATTACGGGTGGAAGGAAGACATGAGAAAGTCAAAATTGATACAAATGGGTTTGGGTCAAGAGAATATAAAAAAGATTACCGTTGGGGTCAGGGGGTGACGTGGCGTGAAATGGAAGGCCCAGGTTGGAAAAGTTGACACTCCTCAACAAAGACGACTCTTTATTCGTATATATAAAACTAAATTTAAAAAAAAATAAAATAAAATAAAAAATATATAAATAAAAAACACACGCTTTCCTGATTCGCAATCCCAATTCCGCTTCCCCATTTTTTCTTCTCCTCTTTTTTCCTTCATACTCCTGCAAAATTCTCATCCTCTCCTAATTCTGATCGCCCTCCTCTCCGCCGCCGCCGACGCCGCCTTCCTGATTCTTCTGATTCTTATCATCGTCGCTGTTCATGGAAGCAGGAGTTGATACGCCTTTTCAGACGGAGAGAGGCGGGATGGGGATATTGGTGGACCTTTCGTCCGGTGATGGTCTCCTTCCTTTCTCTTCTTCTTCTTCCTCTTCTTCTTCTTCTTCTTCTTCTTCTTCTTCTTCTTCTTCTTCACCACCGAGAATTCCGAAGCGGCTTCGTCAGAGACTTCTTGTGGAGTGTAAGTCTCCCAGTACTGTGGAGGAAATTGAGGCTAAGCTTCGTCATGCTGATCTTCGTCGTCAGGTCCTTAATCTATTCCTACTCTTTCAAATTGTTCTTTCTTGTTTCTTTCTTTTCCTTTGGTTTTTGCGTACTGGACGTGCTGGATTTTTTAGTTTGTTGTTTATTGCCTGAATTCTAAATTCAAGTGTTTCTTCCGTTTCATCTTGCCGATTGATATTGAGTGGTTGGGACTTCTGTTCTTTAACGTCGCACTAATCAAGGATTTTGTTTTCTTTTTACGTTAACTTAATAAGAGTGACTTTCAATGGTATATTTTACCTTTTTTTTTTGGTATCTTGAACAGTTCGCTTTCATGTTTAATTTGGGTGTTTTTTTTTTTTCGATTTCAACTTTTATCCGTTTTTCCTCTTAATCTGTTGTGTAATTTAGTTTTGAAATATTATCTTAGAAGACTTCATGACTCTCCTGCAGTCCTATGATCGGAGTTCCCAATGATTCTTGCTAATTCTTTTCTCATCAATTGCCCCTATTTTGTTTCCTAATTTCTTCTCCCCATATCTGGAGTTTTAGTGGTACTTTTTTTCTTCATTCTTTGGTTTTGGACGGTCGGTAGGAATGGTTGGTTCCTTCACCTTTTTGGGGTGGTTTGGTCGGTTCCTTTCTCTCAAATAAGCTTTCTTCTGACTTCCGCTTTTCCTTTTTTCTTCAGTTATGTTTTTTTTGTTCTTGTGCGTTTAGAAGGAAATTTTCTTGTTGTTGATTAATCTGCTTCGTTTCCCTCGAAACTGCTGGCTGGAGGGCATTTGACAACGGTATAGCAGAAGAAAGAATGCACAGCAATTATGTTTGTTTTGTTTTCGCTAATCATATTTTTTTATTGTCAGTCTTATTTCCACTATACGTTTGATTTTCAATACTTTTCTTCTTTACTCAATTTATTATACCGATTCCTTTTCTTCCCTTTTCCTTTTTCCGGCGATACAAGAGGCAGGGTGCTTTGTACTTTTGGTGGGAAACTTTAGACCAACTGCAATTCTTCTTTATTTATTGAGTGCAGCAACACTATGAGAAGTTGTCCAGCAAGGCTCGACCGAAGCCGAAAAATCCATCACATTTTTCTTCTCAGGAGGGAAACCTTGGACAGCGGCTTGAAGCAAAACTCCTGGCTGCAGAGCAGAAGAGGTGAACTAATAAATATTTTCTCAGAATTTTATTAGTACTTGTGCTTAATGGAAAAGTCATTGGCAATCCGTATATCTGAGATCATCATATGAAAGCCGTATAACTTAGGCTATACGCCAACTATTCTCACATATTATTATACATCCAAGGCAAGCTCAGACTTTTGGATAGGGACTGCTGCAACTACTATGTTGCTGAATGAGATTTCTCTATCTTAGAGAAGGCTTGGCTGGCATTGCGTCTTTTCTAGTAGTATTAGTTTTTTTTTGCTATTACATTTGTGGTGTTTGAATCCTCTATTTTGATCTATTTATCATTCTTACTCCATACCTTTCTGTGGCTCTTCTTCTGAATTCAAGTTCAGATTATTTGGACTGATTTAAATAGGGATGAGGTTATAATTTGCGATAATTGAAAGATTCTTTTTCTGTGTTAATCCTGGGAATCTTTGTGATATTTATTTATCCATTGATGACAACTTCCATGGTTTTAATTGTGGTCTCCATAATATTATTTCTTGGAGAGTGATAATGCTGATGCATCATACACTGTAAGCTTTTCAAACTAAGTTGGTGATCTTTAATATGACAGGTTGAGTATATTGGCTCATTCTCAGAAGCGTCTTTCTTTGTTGGATGAGGTACGACAAGTTGCTAAAACTGTTGTGGAGATACGTAAAGAGAAAGAGCGTGAGAAGCTTGGGAAAGAAGTTGCAACTCGGGCGCAACAAGCTGAGGCCAATAGAATGCTTATGCTGAAGGCTTACAGGCAACGAAGGGCCTCACTGATGGAAAGGTCATCTATGTCATTGGTAAGAAAGATGGCTTGGGAAAATAAGTACAAGGAGCGAGTGCGTGCTGCAATTTCTCAGAAACGTGCAGCTGCTGAGAAAAAACGGCTGAGTTTGTTGGAAGCAGAGATAAAAAGGGCACGAGCTCGAGTGTTGCAGGCTCGACGTGTGGCTAAGTCTGTATCTCAACAGCGTGAGCTTGAGAGGAGGGAAATGAGGGATAAGTTGGAAGATCGAATGCAAAGGGTATGCATGTTTATTTCAATTGGAATTACAATAGCCAGTCGCATGCCTTGGATTTATGTGTATCATTCTCATTCTTTCTATGTTTTGGTAGATCATGAGATTTCATTTGGAAATAAAATAGTAGTCACAGTGGATTTTGCTTTTTCCTACTGATTTAGTTCTGATCACATTTCTTGGGTTTGTCAAGTATCATTCTCATCCTTGTGATGTTTGGTGGATCATTAGGCAAAGAGAAAGAGAGCAGAATTCTTGAGGCAGAGAGTAAGGCCAAATATAGCTACTCGAGTGACTAGAATTAGGATGCACAAACAGGCTGACATCCTATCCCGAAAATTAGCAAGGTATTTTAGCTCTTCCCTGCTTTCAAGATTCAAGTATGAATTAATTATTCGAAATGTTTTCCTACTGTTACTTCGCTTTCATATTTCTATTTATGCTGTAAGATAAACTTTATGTCTTCATGCTAAATTTAAATTTCTTTGAGGATGATTGACCATGCTTCCCCGTCTCTGCTTCTAAAGATAGAACCCTTGTATAATTTGATTACTTTATGGTTTGGGTTCTATATAAACTTGATACGATAAAATATTATCTGCTTCTACATTCTTTCTTTTACAGGTTGATATATGTTACCTTCAATACTTCTTATTTAGTATCATTACTATTGTTCTTTGCCCCTTTGCTTGGGGATTGGAGATTTGGGTATAGTTCTTGCTAGTCTTAATCTGAGGTTAAATCAGCATCATGTCTCTTAGTTTTGCCTGCTGAATCAGAGAGTGGAACATTTCTTTTTCCATCCTTAATAGAGACTAATAATCATACTGCATATGCCTTTAAATATGGTTCTATTGATGAATTAAGAAATATATTCCCTTGAAATGAAACTGTATTTTTCTCCTTTAGGTGCTGGAGGAGATTTCTTAAATTGAGGAGGACTACTTTAACATTGACTGAAGCATACAATTCCTTAAAAATTAATGGAAAATCTGTCAAGTCAATGCCTTTTGAGCAGTTTGCTGTTCTGATTGAATCAAGTTCTACTCTCCAAACTGTTAAAGCATTACTTGATCGGCTTGAAAGCCGCTTGAAAGTTGCTAAGGCTGTTGCTGCTACAAGTTATCCATCTAATTTTGAAAATATTGATCACCTCCTCATGCGAGTTGCTTCTCCTAAAAGGAGGTCTAGTCCAAGTTCTTCTTCAAGGAGCAGAAATACAAGTAAAGTTGTTATTAGGGAGGTGCCTAAAAGTATTTCTAAACCATCCAGATATCCAGTTAGAGTGGTCCTTTGTGCTTATATGATACTGGGTCATCCTGATGCTGTTCTTAGTAGTCAGGGAGAACGTGAGATTTCTCTGGCCAAGACTGCAAAAGAGTTTGTCAATGAGTTTGAACTATTGATAAAGATTATTTTGGAAGGGCCAATTCAGAGTTCAGATGATGAATCAGAATCTTCACCAAAACAGTGGTCCTTCAGATCTCAGCTTGCTGCATTCGATAAAGCATGGTGTTCTTACCTGAACTGCTTCGTAGTGTGGAAGGTGAAGGATGCACGAGCATTAGAAGAGGATTTGGTGAGAGCTGCTTGCCATCTCGAATTGTCTATGCTCCAAACTTGCAAGTTATCAGATGGAGGAGATAATTCTCTTACGCATGATATGAAAGCCATCCAGAAGCAGGTTAAGCCTGTCTTGTTTATTGGAAGTTTACATTTAAAAATTGACAAGGATTTGTATATTCTAACATTGTTAAACTGCAGGTAATTGTAGTTTTGACTGCACATCTAGGAATTGTATATTTTAACGGGTATTTGTCAAACAGGTCTCTGATGATCAGAAACTTTTACGAGAAAAGGTTCAGAACCTTAATGGAGATGCTGGGATTGAGCGTATGGAAAAAGCTTTATCTGAAACACGATTTAAGTACTTTCAGTCTAAAGAAAATGGAAACCCTCTGAGTTCACCAGTTACACAGTTTATATCTTCACCTATATCCAACTCAGACGGTCCTTCCGTTTCAAGATCAGATGTCGGGAGCAATGAGGACAAGTATGTCAAGAGGCCAGCTCATGTAGTCCGTTCTTTGTTCAGGGAAGATCAAATGATGGCTAAACCAAATGAATTATCTGAATCTAGTAGAAGCATTCCTGAAGGTCAGTTAAGGTCTGTTGGAGACTTGACCACTGAAAATGAACTTTTATTAAATGAGTTTCTCCACCAGCAACATCCATTTTCTGACAGTTTGGACATGATTGAAGAAGATCGAAACAGTATCCAGGTTCACATGTTTTTTCTGATTTTTGTGATCTTTAGAAATCATTTTTTAACGTCTTTATCTGGTTATATTTAAGAAATGCAAATCTTCTCTAAGGGCCTTATCTCATACACTCAACCTGTTATTTTTCTCTTAAAACGTGTTCACCTTCTCCGTTCGTCCTTTTCAGGTAAAGTTGAGAGAAACAATGCAGAAGGCCTTCTGGGACGGCATCATGGAATCCTTGAAACAAGGAGAGCCCAACTACGATCGGGTGATTCAGCTTGTGAGAGAGGTCCAGGATGAACTTTGCAATATGGCTCCAGAGAGCTGGAAGCAGCAGATTACTGAAGCCTTTGACATAGACTTTCTTTCTCAGGTATTAATCATCATACTCATGCTTGGATACTGCTGAAATTTTTATCTTTAAAATCTTTATATATATACATATAAATATGTATACATGTATACATTTATATATATACATGAGATAGCCATGTCAGGGAACATGTATAAATATATATACATGTATAGATTTATATTTTTCTTTTCATTTTCTGTCCTTTGGAAGATACTCAAGTCAGGGAACATGGATTTGGGCTACCTTGGGAGGATTTTGGAGTTTTCATTAGTCACATTGCAGAAGCTCTCCTCTCCTTCAAAAGAGAGTCAGCTGAAGGCTAGTTACGAGAGTTTATTTCAAGAGTTAACTGAGATATGTCGTCATACTGAAGATAAGTCGAAGAATCCAAGCGAGATTGCCTTGATTAGAGGTCTGCAATTTGTCCTGGAGCAGGTTCAGGTTCGTTCCGTGGTTTTTAATTTCTTCTCCCTTAGCTCTTTCGATTGGAGAGATTAAAATGTTTTTTATTTGATACATAATCTCTTTCTTCTCGTATAGCAAAAAAATTATTTATTGGGAGGGTCATAAGAAATCAACTTTATACCTTCATTTCGTCATCAAACCTCTTCTCCCATCCAAACTCTCTTAATCAGTCAAACAAGCAATTTGAATAAGGATTATGAATAGACCCTTATCTTAGCCATACCCGTTTGATTGATATTAAAGTCGAAGTCGTTTCATTAAGTCAAATTGTAGCCACAAAAGTTAACTATTGCACTTCAATTGCAGGTGCTCAAGCAAGAGATAAGCAAAGCTCGTATAGAAATCTTGAAGCCTATTTTAACCGGATCCCATGGTTTTGATTATCTTAGAAAAGCTTTTGCTAACCGATATGGGGTCTCATCTGATGCCAATGCCAATCTGCCAAAAACAATGCAATGGCTTTCATCTGTATGGCATTGCAAAAACCAGGAGTGGGAAGAACACAAAAACTTGGTATTATCATCGTCTGTAGTTTCTGAGGGATCATTGCAGGGTTGTAACCATATTCCATCGACCCCTCTAAGAACCGGTGGAAGTATTGCTCACCCGGGGAATTCAAGCCAACAGACTTATAATACTGCCAGAGAAAATGCAGGTGCTGACAACTGAATCCATTGATTCGTTTTTTGTTTAGGATCCCAATTATACCCAAGTTAGAACCTGATTTCACTTTTTGGCTGTTTATTTGTTTCTCATTA